AAAATGACCCTAACCCTAAAGTTAATTCAAAAATATTAATTATATAATTTATCTCCGCTTTAGACGTCCCCCAAATATGGAAATACTTTTGCGACACTCTATTTTACGTATCAAAACATAATTAATGAAATCGAGTGAAAATGTACATTCTAAAAATAGATTATTATGAATTTCATTTTCAGCATAAATATTGTTAATAATACAATACGAGTTCATTTTTCTTTACGCAAATGTGTCTTCATTATACAGTTTCTTCACGAATATAATTGATCGAGATAAAAAAAAAAAAAAATCCAGAATATCATCTTTATACTTACAGTGACCGGTCATCACGAAGTCTTTTGTCATCATAAAAAAAATTCAAATGACCGGGTCATTTACCATCACTGACCAAGCTGACCAAGGGGGTCTTTTATGGAGATTTATATCGAATTCCTTTTTAAGAAATGTAACTTCGCAATCGCAACAATCAGGTAATTACGATCGATTTCAATGTGAGCTGGATCCACAAAGATATATCATTTTGTAAACCGTGATGATAATTAACGTTAAGTATATTTGATATAACTAAAATTTCATGTGACAAGCATTTTACTAATTTACGTTTACTAATCAAAAACTGTTTATATAGCATATGAGTGCTGCAGAGTAACTGAACATAGTAAATCATTGAAATTACAGGTTTTCAGAGTAGGCAATACTTGATTGAGACCTTGTTTGCCGAGCAAAAAAGGTGGCGCAATTTCATCGGTGAATCAAATTCAGGAATAGAAAGAGAATGCAATTCGATTCGATTCTCTTGATAGTCCCATATAGTGTACTTTGTAGTGTTCTGTTGATATGTTTGTGAATTAGGGTTGGAGGCACGGTATCCCAGAACAGCCTTTGGACAAAGTTTGGACATCTTGAACATTTTTAAATATTAAAATGCCTCAAAATTTTATTAAGATAACTTATTTTAGTTTTTAAAGTGTTTAAAATTAAACAAAAAGGTACTTATGGTGCTTAAAATTTAGTTTTAAAGATTATTTATAAGCTAATAATGTTTTAGTTAATTTTTTTTTTTTTGCTTAGTTTAAATGGCTCCAAGTTTCTGCAAATACTTATGTAAATGAATTTTATGAGCATTTGTTGCTGATAATGGAACATTGATGTGTCGGTTTGTGACATACCTGTTAATTATGAAGTAAAGTCAATAATCATATCTTATATTAATAGCAAGAAGCATATTACAACAAAGCTGCAAAAGAGTGGTATAAAATAAAATCAAAGCAATCAAAAATACAAATGTCAATAAGCATAACACAAAAAAAGAAGAATATAATTTTGAATCTGGTTGAGGCATTTGTAAGTACCAATATTTTGTTAAAAAAGATTGACAAGCTATAATAGTAGTTCTACTCTTTTAGCTAATATTTTAAAACAAAATTATTTAAAACTAGTATATAAAAAATATATTATATTAATAAAATCTAAATTTGTTTGTAAGTCTATTATAATTATTGCTGATAAAACTACTAATAATTATACTAAAAATAACAAAATAATAAATTAATTTAGTAAATTATTTTAATTATTTTTTAAACTTTAGTTAAATGTTTATTTTATTTAATATTTTTTAATTTTTTATTTTTAACTCTATTAAATACAAAAAAATATTTTTAAAATATTTTAAAGCCTATTATATTACAAATTAATAATAATATATATAGTATATATTTTAAATCTTATTGGATATATTTGTTATTTTTATTTATTTTAATATATTAAATATAGTCAAACTTCTTATAGTTACAAAAACTATAATTATAAAAAGATAGAATTAATATAGAAGTATTTTCTATATAGTTATAAATATTTTTTTCAGTTTATAGAGATTTGTAAATTATTAATTTATTAA